CGGAACAGCTGGCTGGACCTGTTGGACGGGGGCGAGGACGTCCAGGGTGCGGTGGCCCGTGTCGCGAGGGAGCGTGTGGATGCTGCGCCGGGTGAGCCGGTGTTTGAGGAGGAGTAGCGAGTGGTATGTAGAGGGGAAGAGTTGTTGCTTTTGGCTACATGGATGGTTCGTTACGATGTACGGTCGAACAATGAAAATATGCTCCTGGCAGAGAGAAGCCCGAAACGCGCAAAAATGCATCGACCCGGTGCCCAAACATGGGATAAACAAAAATAGTTGGGTATTCGGCTAATAGTTATATGCAGGTATAGATACACATGCTATGCAAAAAAACAAAAAAAAACCAGTATTAAATAACCGTCCAAATCACTCCTAGTAATACACCGGGGCCGCAGACTTATACTCAGTCTCCACCCGGCCCAGTTGCCCGTCCGGGCCGGCGTCGGAGTCGATGCCTCCCCTGCGCCGGAGCCCGGACCGGCCGCAGAAGCCTTCAGCGTAGTAGAACCTACGCCCGAGCTCCCGGACGCGGCGCGACCTGACCTCGCCGTCGAGGGTAGAGACGCCGCGCAGGTCGGCCACAAAGTACGAGTCGGTCACGTAGTACATGAGCCCGCCCACGGAGCGCGGGTCGGCCGGGAGGGCGGGCCAATCGAGCGCGAAGGAGGCGAGCAGGACGGCGAGCATGGCGCCCAGGACCACGAGCGAAATGCGGGCGCACGCCACGTGCGACGCCAGCGTCTGCGTGGCCTTGTACGGCACGTTGGACAGCACGGCGGGCAGGGCCTCGGCCAGGCACGTCATGAGCGCCACCAGAAAGGTGTAGGGCTCGCGCTGGCGCGCGGCGCGGTACAAACCGTAAAAGCCGTTGGACGTGCGTGACACGAGGATGGAGCGCTCGGGCGGCTGCGGGCGGCGCGCCATGGCCTTGAAGGGCATCATGCACGTCACCGACGAGAAGAGGGCAAGCCAGAAAAAGGTCACGACGACGCCCGCCAGCGCGAGTAGGAACCGCACGCCGAACGAGTGCGAGTCCATAAAGGTCTTGAACCCGGACTGCTGGCCCAGCGTCAGGTGGTAGTAGAGCACCAGGCCGAAGATGCCGCCCAGGAACACCGCGAACGCGGCCCGCCACATCACCGTGAGCGCAAGGAACCGCGCCGCCGCGGGCTCCGGCACGGGGCCGCCGAGCCGGAACGAGGCGCGGTCGCTGCCCTCCTCCTGGTCCGACCCGGGCTGTTGCTGCAGGAGGAGCCGTCCGATATCCCGATCCGGGTCCTCCAGCAGCACGATGCCGTACTCGCCCTCGACGTCGAAGCCCTCGTAGCGACCAAAGCCATACCGCCGCCCGCGCGTGGTCATGGCGGCCGTCATGGTGGCCTCGTCCCCTTCGAGCACGCGGATCTCAGGGTTCGCCGCCAGGCTCGCGATACCGGCCACGCTCCAGGGGTTGGCCGAGAGGCCCGTGCGCGCGCGGTGCAGCATCACTGCCAGCCCGGCGAGGAGGACGATGGCGACGGCCAGGACGACGATCAGAGCGTACGCGGGCCTGGGCGATACGCCGAGGCGCGCCGTGCAGCCCGACGGGGACGCCGGCCCGCAGCCCCCGTGCAACCTCACCCCTAGGGCCTCGGCCGAGAGCGGCACCATGAGTGAGGAGAGCAGCAGGATCGACTGCGAGAGCAGCGGGATCGGCTGGCCCATGACGATGGGCTTGATCCAGCCGATGGGCCCGGCGTACTGCAGCGTGAGGGACTCGGCCCCACTGGCACCGTGTGGCGAGCTCAGCGCGAAGAAGGGTTGGAAGAGCTTGGCCTGGTTGTCGATGATGCGCAGGCCCGCGGCCAGCACGAGGCAGACCAGCAGCGGCAGGAAAACGCCCGCGAAATACTGGGCCTCCCCGATGTTCTCTTTGACCTCGGTCGCGACGACGACAAACGAATCCGAGGTCGACTTCGGATTCGGGGTCGAGATCGAGGTCGAGGTGATCGTCGAGCTCGAGCCGGTACTCGTCGATGTGCGCGGCGGCGGTGTAGAAACGATGGTGGTGGAGCGGCCGCTGATCACCGACGTGACGCTGGTAGGTGGAGGCGTGAAGACGGATGTGACCAGCGACACCCCCCGCGTCGTAGCTACAGTGAGTGTCAGGGGTAACGTCCCCGTAGGTGTTGTCGTCACCAGCACATTTGTGGTCATGCCTCCGAGCATGAAGACGGAAGTCACCGTGGCCGTCGTCGGCAGGCCGTCGGCGCCTGTTGTTACAACCGTCACCACGGATGTAACTAGTGTCCCCCCAATCACCGAGATGGCGGTAAAGACGATTGGCTGGAAGGCGGTTACGGCCTGACCGGCTATGAGCGGAGACATATGTGGCTCTGCCGTGGGATTAACCACAATCACAGCGGGCGCAAGGGAGTCTGACCCTCCCACCGTCACGATGACTGTTTCGGCCGGTGGCGTGTATGGTACGACGACGGTGGCCGGGTTGTCGACTACTTTGGTTTCGGGTTCATGGGGGATAGTGATAACTGTGATTTCCCCATTGACCACTTTCTCGATCAGCTCGGTCGACGGCCCCGGGATGGGTATCTGTTCCGCTGGCGCGTCGATGGTATAGACGCTCGTGATAGTCACAAGTCCAAGCTAGCAGAGGGATACGTAGACATGTTAGTAACAAGGGGATACAAGGTCCGTAATGGTTTGAGAGACTTGCAGTCAGATATGTGGCTTGAGGTTGTGTTGAGATCACAACACTTGGAAACGCTGTCGCGGCCGCTGAGCTTGACATTGTGGGATGGGATACTCTTGTGGTTTGGGGCCTACTCCCGCCGCCACCGCCGGTCCTGGTAACCGTCACGGCAGAAGTTCTGGTGGTGGTGATCCCGGGCCTCGTCATCGTCACGTTACCCGTGATATACCAGGAACCCGGTAAAGTCTCGGTTGCTCTACAAGAGTAGAAAGAAACCCACGTTAGCACCGAAAGGGAATGCAGAGAGAGGTTCCGGCTGATGGGAGGGGGCATTTTACCGAGAGATGGTGACAAAAGTGGTGGTGAACCTGGTTTTGGAAGGGATTCTAATAGTCCGACTCGAACTGCTGAAGGTGGTATCTGGCACGGGGTCCGGGCGCGGCCTCGTGCTTGTCACCGTCGTCGCGGGCCTGGTAACAGTCGTTGACGCAACCGTCACAATAACCGAGGTGACCACAATCTTGGAGGTCCCGACGGCCCGTCCCAAAAGAGCACCCGTCCGACCGGCTTCGGCGGGGGGCGTCGACGAGGATGACGCCCCTGCCGACCGGAGGGTGCTGCTGCGCACCTCGCCGGGGATGTCGCGGTCTGAGCTGTCCGAGTCGGGCATTGACACGACCGCGTACACCGTAAGGGCCAAGGCGATGCAAAGGACGAATATCTGGACAATGATATACGGCAGACGCAGGGCAAGGGGCTTGTACGATCGCGCCGGCGGCGCAGCCCGGCCCTTTTTCAGGGCGTCTTCCTCATCTCGAACTGCTTGGGCGTTGTACGCATATGCGCTCACCGAAGGCGCCAGGAGCCGCTTCATATCGACGGGCTCGGCTGATCGCGGGGTCGAGGCCTGTCCCGGGGCGGCGGGCTCGGGAGAGTAGCGGCGAGGAGTTGCTCGGTAAGATGGGGTAAGGTGTCAGGGACGTGGCGGGGGCTCGGACAGGCCCCTTGCAGACTCCCAATCCAACTTCGGCGCAGTGGTGGTGCGAGGAGCCATGGACAGGCGGGCCGACCTGGGATTGCCAACGACAGGGACACGTCTGGGATGTAAAATAGCAAGCGCCAGCCTGGCGATCAAAGGTAGAGCATAACCATGGGATGGTAGCAGGCCCGGGATGGACAAGTTAATCAAGGGCCGAGGGACGACGCAGTGGGAAGAGCAAAAGCCGGGCCCTCAAGTCCCGAGATGGGCAGTGCAGCCAGCCAGCCACCCCAAGGTAGCATCCTGGGCAGGGGTCAATCGAGCCAGTCTCGTGGGCGAAGCTAGCATACGCAACGATCGGGACGAACCCGTCGACGCCGCATCCCGGCTCTAGCGGTTCCTGTGGTGGGGGCTAGGCCTTGGCGAGGGCCAGCTCCTGTCGTGGTCACACAAGGTGGCATCCAAGGTAGGAGCCCTACCACGCTGTGCTGACGGGATATGGGGTCGAAACCAGCGGCTAGCAGGCCGAGCGGGCTGTGCCTCACCGCCAGGGTTGGGCGAGGAACCGCACGCTGCAGCCAATACGTGCTTATGAACACAGCAAATCCATGGCTTCATGGCTTCTCCCGTTTTTTCTCCTCTCTCTGGAGGTTCGTGTGTATTGCGACTACCCCCTTGGGACAACAAAAGCAGCGGTCTCATCTTCGGTTGGCTGGATCGGATCGACCCAACGAGCGGGGTGCCGTCATAGCCCCCTGTTCGGACGCTGTAAGGCTGAGATCTGGTGTCGTTTGATTCGTCGCTAAGCGGCAGAGCCACCAGAAGAGCGCTGATTTGCTGGTTGACAAGAGGATCGCACCCATCCTCCGGGCTGGTCTTGTCTCCCATTAAAAAACGATGCGCCAATCACTGCCTGGGCGAGTGCCGTTACGCCGGTGCAGGTGGCCGTGTTTCAAATTTCGTCGCCGGCAAAGCCCCCAAGACTGCCGCTGGCGTAGAGTCGCAATGCCGAGCGTTTGCTGCGTCTTTCTCATCCCGAAAAGGTCGACATCGCCCGCAGACGGATCGGGCATGGATCCCTTTCTAGCGACGCGATATGCACGGCGATTATCCTGAGGTACTCGCGAGATGGAGCGAGATAAGGCCCACTAGCAGGTGGGATCGTGCGGATTTGGGGGCTACGCAGTTGATTAGAGTAGCCTACCACCTAAGCCGTCCCGTTACATGCAGTCATCTTGCTTGCGTACACCATCAGAGGTGGACCTCGCCCAAAAGTTCCATGCAGGAACCCATACCGCAAAACCTGCCGCTCCTCGTGAACAACCAACCCCAACGCTTGGCCGGGTTGAGGCTTTCTTGTGCGACGCACAATACGGGGAAGGCCAGTGACGCACGCTGGTCAACCAGCCCCTTGTCATCACAAATTGATTGCTACCTCGTCGTCTTCGTCACCAAGCGCAGTGGCCGCCGTCGATCCGCAGGTCCGCGCCCGTCATGAAGCTAGAAGCCGAGCTGATGAGAAATACGGCTGCGCCGCGGTACTCCTCGGGCTTGCTCAGGCGGCCGAGCATGTTGCCGTTGGCCCAGTCCTGTCTCCTCTCTGGGTACTTGTCGAAAAGCGCCTCCGTCATGGCGGTGACGATGTAGCCCGGCGAGATGGTGTTGACCCGGATTCCCGCAGAACCCCACTCCGAGGCCAGGTTTCGGCCGAGCTGGAGCACGGCCGCCTTGGAGGCGTTGTATGCTCTGCCCTCAGTCTCTTGGCTGTCAGCATCGGCGTCACGGAGAGTGTGAGGGCGGAGCCCGAGAAGTGAGGGACGGGGCGACTTGCGGGCAGATCAGGCCTCTGTTGGCAACCGTTCCGCTCATGGAGCCGATGAGAACGATGCTACCTCCCTGCTTCAGGCGCACCATCTGCCGGGCAACGGCCTGGGCCGTCATGAAGACTCCCGTGACGTTGACGCTCATCATCTTCTCGACATCCTCGGCCGCGTACTCGAGCGCCGAGGTCTCCTGCTGGATGCCGGCGGCGGCGATCAGCCCGTCCAGCCGGCCGTGGCGGTCGGCAATCTGCTGGACTGTCTCGTTCAGCCTGGGCACGTCGCGGACGTCGATGCGGTGGTACGTCAAGCTAGAGCCCAGCTCCGACTTGGCGCGGTCGGCGATGCGGGCAAAGTCGGGCGACGGGTCCGGCAGCCGGTCCACGGCGTGCACCTCCTTGGCCCCCGCATCGAGCAGCGCTTCGGCCTGCACGAGACCGAGGCCACGCCCGGCGCCCGACACGATCACAACCTTTCCGTCGAGCCTGAACTCGGGGAGGCCGGGTTGGCTAGCGGCCGAGCTGACGAGGCGCAATGCTGCCTTTGCAGGTGAGGATTGATGGGCGCATCTCAGTGGTCGCACGGAGCTCATGGCCAGGAGGCCGGGAAGCCGAGGCGCGAACCGGCCGACCGAAGGAAGCATGATGATTTGGCAGTATGATGATGCCGTGAGATGGAACGGGAGCCAGCGAGCACAAGGTTTGTGGTCGAGATATCAAGGGAATGAGCTTCTGGCTGCTATTCCGATTCTAATGGTAACCTACTTGTTGCCTACGTAACAAGCACGCGGGGAGGAAGAAAAAGGATCGTGGAGAGAAGGGCCGTGGGAGGAGAAGACGACGATGGGTATTGAGGTGAGAGTTGATGGGACGGAAAGCGCTATGGAGCAATATACAGTACCAGCTGCCCGACCAAGTTCCCTCCCCATTGTGAAGCTCGGGGCTTTGCTGAGGGGTTCCAGACCGGCAAGACATCGGCATCCCCTCATCTCAGCTCCCGAGTTATGGAGCCCGCGGTCGCATCGAGCATCGTGGTGCAATCACCAGTGCCTCTTTGGGGAAGCTCCTCACACGCCGCGCACTTGGGTGCAATCGATCGGGTATGAGGTGGGCGATACTGGGGCATGGAGGCGGCGTGCATATGGCAGCATCCAACCAGGTGGCAGCACATTGATGATACCGGTCTCGGATTGCCTATATAGGCAATCCCGCCCAGTTGGCAGCCACAGTCCCGAAGCTTGAGCTCCTTCCCCTCACTTGCGCCCGCATTGGGCCCCACCGAGGCTTGGCCGACGACCTTAATGAGAACTCTCCGGGGTGCGCACCCGAGGTAGGCGGGCCGGCGCTTGGGGAGACGGGTAGGAGGTGTGTCTTGTAACTGGATATTGGTAGCGGTCTAGACCTACAGCGTGCCTCCATGGCAATGGATGTGGGTGTGTATTGGTGGTCGGGAATGCAGGAGGACGGATTGGGAGTCGGGCGTAGCGGAAGCGAAAGAGGAGGTGGAAGAGGTGTAAATCCAAAAGAGACATGTCCTCAACTCTGTGCCAAGCCGGGACCGCCATCTCGGCAGTCCAGATGTGGTAGAGGGGTGTCCTGACAGCGTCGATGGTGCTGGCAGTGAGCGAGGCATCGAGTCGAATATTCGAGGTCGGCGTTTGTTATGTATGTACCCTGTACCCACAGCAAGTCGGAGATTTGAAATTAAACACGGCCTCTCTCTGCTGGCCTCGGTCCACAGGGCAGTCGTCGGCACTTCACGGCAGTACCTGACCCGATCGTGCGGTGTGCAAGCCTCGCACGACAAGCAGTGGGCCTTTGAGCCGCAGCGACCCGGGGCCATCCAGGCAGCAAGCGTCAAGCTTCGCGTGGCCACGGCTCCACTGGCGACACCACCAGCTCACAAAAGTCCCTATCGTACGATGGCTGCTCAGCCGGTTGGGCCGAGCAAGAAAGAATGCCATAAGAATCGACACATGCAATACCAGCCACTCCTGTCGTCTTGGGCGCCTGACCTGACGGGGTGGGCTGGCGTTTCGTATCTTTTTCTTCTTCTCACTCTGGCGTGTTCCGGTTTTTTATCTTGCGCGCCTGGGTAAAATCGTTTTTCGTCGGCTTTCACCCGTCTTGGCTTCGGTCAGACAGCGTGGGGGGCAGACCGTGACAGCACACGGCCTCGACAGCACCTGTGGTGGGATGGGTAGTCTCGTCCCGGCAGACAAGAAAGAGCGGCTGGAGCCTGTGCTCCCAAGTGGAACTGCATTTGTTTCGCCAAACACGAATCCCTGAACTGGTGGTGCATATCCTGGGCGAATCGCGCATGCCGGCCCGGCTGGGTGGGCTCCATTGCCTACGCGAGCACATGGATTCTTCGATTCCCATGCACCAGGCAGGCGACAGCGAACTGACTTTACAGGCACCCCGAAACAGCAGCAAGAATTGACGGCCCTGTGAAATTGGACAGGACGAGCACTGTTCTTGGCAAACTCAACTCCCCATCCTTACCCCACTGATTCTCAAGTCCTGGACCCCTACTGTGCGACCCCGGAGCCACAACACCAAAAGCCGGATTTTTTTTCTCTTTTTTTTTCTCTTCCTTCTTGTCCCTCCCTTCGTCGCTCTGCAGGAGAACCTGGCGTTTGGCTTCGCCGCTAGAGCGCGCCTCGCCCAGGCAGCCCTGCGACATTTATTTTGCCAGGACGGGAGCCGTTCGTACCATAATTAGCTCCTGACCGCCTTTAGGCGGCCGGGTGGAACTTTATCCTCGTACGATTTGCTCAACGCCTGTGCCACTTTTTTCTTCCTCTCATCTTTCTTTGTTCTTTTTTTTTGTTTCTCCGACGATGCCAGGGACATGCAGATTCGCGACAGGACCGGATGATGCGGCTGTTCAGGTTCTGACTAGTCGCGTGTTGCCTGCATACCGTTGGGCCGCCGGGGATAGCAAGCCCACAGAACGGACCCCTTCTATATCCGAGTAGTCTCCATGTACTTTGTAGCCCTCCTTGACCTACACCTTGGCTACGTAGCATGTACGACGTAGGTGACTAGCCAGGCCGGCCCACGCAAGAATCAGGGAGGCGCCTGCGGCCGAGGGTAGGTATATATGCCGGCCGTCTCGCAAGCAGCACTGCGGCGGCTTGTCTACTCCGCACCTCCTGTACTAGAATACCTACCTGCCTACCTACCTACCTACTTGGCCTTGCTCCGCGTACAGTGTGTACACGTCGCTCACCGAACGTTATACATTGGCCCTGCCAGACCCGGGCGTTCTCCATCTCGGTGCTTCCCCGTCCCCCCTGGTCGTCGCCCGCGGGCAGCAACTCGACATGGCCCTCACCTACCAGCAGATGAAGCTCGTCAAGAGCACGGTCCCGGTGCTCAAGGAGTCGGGAGAGCTCATCGCCACCACCTTCTACAGAGACATGCTGGCCGAGAACCCCAGGCTGCGCGAGGTCTTCAACAGCGTCAACCAGAAGAGCGGGAGGCAGCCGCGCGCCCTGACGCAGGTCATGCTCAGCTTTGCCAACAACGTCAGCCACACGAGCGAGCTCATCCCCACGCTCGAAAAGGTCGGTGGACACCTCGCGAGGGACATGTAGAGAGACGGGCAGAGAGACGGGCAGAGAGAAGGAAACGGCTGTCTCGTGTGCTGAACAAACATCAGCTGACTCGGGGGCTCCAGATATGCAACAAGCACTGCTCACTTGGCATCCAGCAGGCAGATTACAGGTACGTGGGTGACCGGAACTGGCGGTGTTGACGCCCATGTCGCCTCGGCGCTGCAATGCCATCTACAGATGCTGTCCTGCATGCCTCCGCAGCAACCCACATACACGCCCCGCGTGCGGACCCCTGACGAGCGGACACGTCGCTGACCCTCCTCCCTCTCCCGCCGCAGCATCGTTGGCCGCTATCTGATCTTGGCCTTTGCCCATGTGCTCGGACCCGCGTGGACGCCCGACGTCGAGCTGGCCTGGACCAAGGCCTACTGGGTGCTCGCCAAGATGATGATCGCCCGGGAGTCGCAGCTGTACGGCGAGTTCGGCGACTGGACGAGCTGGCGCAAGTTCAAGATCTCCCGCAAGGAGCGCCAGTCCAAGGCGCTCGACGCCATGGTCTCCTTCTATCTCAAGCCCGTCAACGGCAAGCGCCTACCGCCCTTTTTTCCGGGCCAGTACGTGTCCATACAGGTCAGGGTGCCCATCAGCGGCCTCCTGCAGTCGCGCCAGTACTCGCTGAGCGAGGCGCCCCGCAGGGAGGGCGACTACTACCGCATCACCGTCAAGAGGGAGGAGGGCGGCCGCTACGTCGGCGGCGGCGGCGGCAGCAAGGGCAGCGGCAGCGGCAGCGGCAGGACCGGGACGGCGGCGTCGTCGATAAGGTCCATCTCGACCACGTCGACGTCGTCCCCGAGGCCGCCGTCGGCGACGGAGCAGGGGCCGTCGTACACGTGCCCGGGCGTCGTGTCCAACCTGTTGATCGACGAGATGGGCGAGGGCGACGTGGTCGAGGTGTCGCACCCGTCGGGCGAGTTCTTCCTCGACACCAACAACGACAGCAGCGTCCCGCTCGTGCTCATCTCGGCCGGCGCCGGCGTCACGCCCATGATCTCCATCCTCAACTCGGTCCTCGAGACGCAGCCGAGCCGCGATATCTCGTGGATCCAGGGCGTGCGCCACACGGTCCCGTTCGAGGAGCACGTCCGCCAGATCAAGAGGACTCACCCCAATGTGCGGACAAACGTCTTCAAGACGGAGCTGGCCGATGGCGAGCTCACGGGTGCCACCCTCCACGGCCGCATGGACCTCGCAAAGGTCAGCCGCGCCGACCTGTTCCTGGACCACGGCGCCGCCGACTTTCGGTGCTGCGGGCCCGAGGCCTTCATGATCGCCGTCGCCCAATACCTGCGCGACGAGAAGGTCGAGCCGAGCCGGATCAAGTTTGAGCTGTTCAGCACAGGGGTTATGGCCAGTACAGCCTGAAGGATCCCAAGGGTACCCCGGATGTCTGCATCGATATCTCGGGGAGTGTATTTGTTTTGACACGATAACGTAGTGTTTTGGGCTTGCGCGGTACGCCCTTTTTTTCATGTATACTTGCGCATTGCAACAACTAAGACTGGAATGGACGAAGGAAGAAAGCACACGACGGCAATACCAATAGAGGACGGAATGGGAATACGCGAAAGGAGCGGAAACAGGACTCCAGTAGAAGCGGGTTCAATCTGGTTAAACCCTACAGTCGGATAACGAAAGCTTGTCGAGGGAAGCTTATGATGTGGTTTCTAGGAATGGAGGATATTACAAGATAAAAATAGGAATAGAACCTGTTCGTGTGCATGCATATATCGACGATTTACCGTTTCATCTGTGCGTTACTTCTGATCGACTTTGACGATTGCTACTGTGACCCCTTTGACAAATGGCCAGTCTCTTGGGACGACGTTCTTCCGGACGCGTGAGGTGGGGCGACTTCCATCATCGCAAGGGATCAAATTAGCCCATCCAGCCGTCCATCGGTTTTCGCAACCCCTGTCAAAGACTTCTCAGCCGCATGCAAGCCAGTCACTGAAAAAAAAAATCCGAACCGCAAAATGCTTTTCCCCACCCAAACTCTATGGCAAAAAAGGTCAAAACAAACTTAATCAATTTAATTGCAGCATACCAAAGCACCATAACACGCCCAAAACAACACAGATTCTTTTGCCAATAATAAAAAGCGAAAGCAAAATGACTGCCCATCAATTTGCATATAAATTACAATTATTGCTTTTTTTTGGTGGTGTTAATTGACTTTGAAATGGGTGCCCCTTTTTTGCGGCTCGGATTTTTTTTTTTAGTTGGTGCCGGGCTCGACTTGCTCACACTAGATCGGCCAGCTGTCCCATGCAAACAAGATTGCGGCAGCGACATTTCCGTTCCTGGGCCCAATCGCCTCAGGGCCAAGCCTCCCAGTCCCCGCGGGCTGAACAGAGCAGGCGCTCCCACCTTCTTCAGCCGTTCCCAGCCTAGCCTGGTCCGAACCCTCCAACCCCCCCCCCAGCTCCAACCAGTCGCCTGCCTCGCTCGCCGCCAGGGGGTCCATGGCACTATTGCCGCCGCTGGACCAATGGCGGTCGGGTGCAGCCACACGACAATGTGTCGCCCAAGGCTGGACACCCCCAGGACGGTGTGCTTGCTGTCTCGTTGCTGCGCGTGCCAGATAACGAGCCCCACGAGTCTGCCTGCGCCATAGCCAGGGCTGATCAGCGTGGAGCCCGGCTGCTCATGCAGCGAAGGCCGTGTATATATATGTATCAATGAGTGGTAGCCCCTTAGTGCGCCGAGAGAGCCCTCGAAAGTCTCGGGACCTCGTTCGTTATCCCTCTGCTACCCGCCCGCGCATCACTCGCGCCAACGCGTCCAGCCCATCGTCTGCCCACCAGGCGAGAGCAACACCCGCTGGCCCGCCATGCGCCACCTTCACCTACTGGCGCTGGCCCTCCCCGCCCTCGTCTCCGCTACGACCCTCGGCCTGTTCCCGAGGGGCTCCATCATCGCGAAGCGCGAGGAGGCGTGCGCCGACCTGCGCGTCAACGCCAACAATGGCGACCGCAAGGTGGCCCTCGTCATCGACTCGTCGGGTTCCATGGCCTCGAACGATCCGGGGAGGAGGCGCATCGACGCCGGGAGGGCGCTCGCAGACTTTCTCATCTCGAGCGGCGAGGCCGGGGGCAAGACGCCCGATAAGCTGACCGTCATCGACTTTGACGACTCGCCCAAGGTCATCTTCCCCCTCGGAGACCCCTCGGGTGCGAGTGCCACACTGGGCAAGATCGACGCGTCCGGCGGCACCAACATCGCGAGCGGCGTCAACAAGGTCGGTAGTGGTTTGCAGCCGCTCTGCTGCCCCTCTGCGGTCCAGGGCGAGACTCGCGACTCAAGATCCAACAGCCGCTAACCCTCAGATCACCACCCGGTCTAGGCCCTCGATCTGCTTACAGCTGGCGACACTGGAGCGACGGATAAGCGAAGCGCCATCGTGGTCTTCACCGACGGCTCGGACGGCAGCCAGACGGCGCTCGTCAACGCCATCAGGAACGCGACCAAGGCCGGGATCCGAGTCTCGTTCGGCTTCCTCGACCTGGCGGCCGGGCAGCAGTCCAAGGAGATCCTCAAAGCGGTCCGGGAGTCGAGGGGCGTCTACGCCACCATCACGGCCGCCGCCGGCAGCATCAACTTCATCAACTACGTGCTCCTCAACGGCCTGACGTACCAGGACAACCCCCAGGGCTACGACTCGCAGCTGCTCGCCGGCCTCTCGCAGACCTACCCCATCGGCGGCGACGCCGTCACGCTAAAGTACCAGGCTGTCGCGGGTGAAGTCCTTGTCAGTGGCCGCGGCACTCTCTGCTGCTCACATGCATATCCCGTTCCCTTTCTAGAAGGACTAGCTGGCTGACCTTGATCAAACGTCTGCAGTCCTTCCGGGTGGTCAGCATCGGGGCGGGCACCCTCACGTCCGTCGCGCAGATGGGAGGGTCCACCTTCAGCCAGACCGGCTCCTCCTCCTCCGCCTCCGTCGTCAATGTCACGGCCCCCAACTCGGGCCAGATCGAGCTCCAGGTCTCGCCCAGATCTGGCGGCTCCCCGCAGGACGCCTTGTTCTCCGTCACCACGAACTCGAACGTGCCTCTAAAGAACTGCACGGTATGTTCCAGTTACAATGGGTTTTTGTGCCACTGGTCTGGGTCTATCTGTGTCTTGTGCTAACTTGGCCATGTGTCGCTCCAGGTCGGCGTGGGCCCTACCGACGAAGGTGGCCTCAGCGTGGGTGCCAAGGCGGGCATCGGAATCGGTGTCACAGTCGCTGTGCTGGGACTTCTTGGAGGTGGTGGTTACTTTGTGAGTTGTGCAATCAATGCCGTCCTTCAGTAAGAGTGCCGCTACTAATCACCTAGAAACGGCCCAGGCGTTCAAGCATTTTCACGTTGGCGGTGCAGAGGGAGGAATCGGCGCTGCGCCTCCCGGCGACGGCGGCGTCTCGTCCAACGTGGCAGCCAACGGGGGCAATACCACAAACATGGCTCCAGGATTCGAGAAGGCGGTACCAGCTTCGGACGTTATGCCTGTGCCCCCAGACGGTGGGAACGGCCTGGCTCCGTCAGCAGCCGGGCAGGGCGGCTTCGGTCCAAACGCGGGCGGCTTTGGCGGGGACGGCGGCCTGGGTCCCGCGGCGGGACAGAACCCGTTGAACATCCCGCCGGGCATGTCACCGCCGCCGCCGGGAGGGCCGCCCGGCGTCTTCGTCCCCGTTTTCATCCCGCCGGTGATGCCGCCAGGTTCTCCGCCGCCTAGGGACTCTGCGGACCACAGCAGGACCGTTTCGCCGCCGCTGCACTCGCCTTCCAACTCGCCCCCGCCGCCGGGCTTCGGTCCCGCGCAGTGGCAGCCCCAGGGCGGTCCTCCGTTCGGCGACTTTCAGCAAAACATCATGCAGGGGCCTGGGAATCTGCAGCAGACGCTGGGCAACAGCACACCCTCGGAACTCGGAGGCGGCCAGGCCGGGCCTTCTGGCCACGGCGGCATGAATCTGATGGGCACCGAAGGCGGCGGCTTCTCCCAGCCCCCGGGCGTGATGCCGAATCACACAGGCAGCACGTTTGCGCCGGGCTCTGGCGATATCGGCTCGTTTCCATCCTCACACGGCGACCTAGGCCCGGGACCCTACGGCACCCCGTATCCCGGTCCGCCAGGGATGATACCTCCTGCCGGGGGGCCATTTGTCCCGACCCAGCCTCACGTCTACGTTCCCAGCTCGTCCCTTGGCATGCCGGGCCAACAAGGCCAGAGGGACAGGCATCACCACCACCACTGGCTGCCGCAGTATGCGCCGTGCGGTGACCGAGACTGCATTTTGCACTCGAGCTCCCACGTTTGCCATCAAGGCTGCCAGTGTACCTGCCAGGACCCCAACTGTCCCCTCAATCGATGATGAGCGTCAGTCAGATAGAATATGTGGGCTTGACGGTTGCCCGGCTATACCTGTATCTTAATGCATGCTTCTGTCCTCTCATCTTTGGAATCGTTTGTTTGATTCCCCCCATGTCTGCTGGGAAGCCCGTATGGTTTCAAGCCGCCCTGTTTCCTGCTAGCGTGGGATTTGGATCCTTGTCCCAAAATGTGAACCTTATACCCCTGATCTCAACGCCCTTGATGGACAAACAGCCCTTGTGAATTCCCTGTCCCACTATAGTATCTGACAAAGTTTACGTGGCACCATGTAGGCCTTAGACCTGTATAGCGGTGGTAGTCTAGGTTTACAGGCTGCGGTCGGACGTCGCCGTTACCGCCATGGCCATGTCTTGGCCGAGGCGGTGTTGGCTTTTTGTGCCGGCTTCTCCGGTTAGGGTGGTGGGCATGCGCACCGCCATAGTCCTGGTGGCCCTTGTGAAGCGTCTAGACGACTCGACGAGCGCTTTCCCCAGACCGAGCCGTGCGACCAACCTGGACCAGGTTTTGCGCGAGTAGCAAAGTTCCCAGGAGCGCAGCCCGCGAAAGACGTTCATCTCTGCTAGACGCAAGAGTGCGGGCATGAGGACGACATGAGGATGCAGCAAGCAGGCAGTCATACCCGAGGATCGCAAGCCCCGTGCTAGCTAGCAGCGCCTCCTTCACCCAGCAACCCCACGGCGCGCGGGGGTCCCAGGCGCGCGACAGCGCCGGGCCTGAGGCCGAGGCGGGCCTCGATCTCGGGGGCGGCGACGCCGTGGGCGCGCATGACGAGGACGTCGCGGAGGGCGGCGACGCCCGCGAGCTCGCGGCCGGGGAAGCCGGCCCGCCCCGCCTCGGCGGCCTCACGGTCGGCCTTGCGCTGCAGGGCGCGGCGCGCGTCGAGCGCCGAGAGCGTCGTGTTCCGGGCGGGGAGGGGCGCGGACGCGGGGCCGTTGTTGGCGGTGGACGAGTGCGATAGCGTTGGATTCGGCCGCACGGCGCCGATCTGGCGAAGCCGCTCCGCGAGGCTGCCGGCGCCGCTGGTGGGCGGGCTGGGGTCCATCGAGTCGAGGCGGATTGCTGCGGGGAGGGAGTGGGGGATAGATGTTAATGGGTTGTTTGGGCCTGGGCCTGATGTCCAATTGGGGTCCTGGCGATCACGCACCCTCGTCCTTCACGCCCGGGGCTCTGCTTTGTGTAGGGCTTCTCCTGCTGCTCGTCGGCGGCGGCGGTTTTGAAGTCGCGGCCGACGGAGGCGAGAGGTTGCCGGCTCTGCTCGGGTACTTCCTCGCAGAAGTCTGCGCAGTTTTGGAGGCTGATGAGCCCATGGCGATATTCGGGAGGGATTGGGTGGTTGGTGGCCCGATTGACGATGCCGACTTCTCAGCTGTTGTCGGCGACGATGGGGAGAAATCGCGGGCGGAGCTGCAGCATTTTGTCGACCGTTACGTAGCTGGACCCACTTCCAACCGTTTATAAGTCGGGTCCTCGCCATGTCTAAGGCGACGACACGTCAGGACGACGATGATGCGCACAATTGAAACCCTAACTCAAATAGCATGGCCTATAACTACCGACCAAATCCAACTTCCCACTTCCTTCATCTGTCATTCCCATCAACATCCCTTGACTCCCATCCCTGCCTCCCTGCTACTCCGGTCTTGCTGACAATACGGCGACTGATACTACCCAGTGCTAACACTGAGATCCACACCTACATACACATCATTGCTATCTGTATACTCCCTTTCGGTGCCTAGGGGTCTACATCCATTCCTCTCGAGCTGCCCGGAACCAACGAAGGGTCGACAGGCGAGAGGAGTGTCGCCCCGTGCGGGCCCGTCGGTGTGGGTGGCCGCGACGAGATGCCCGGGAACGGCACCAGTCCAGACAGCCTCGAAAAGAGACCCTTTCTCTGTGGTGCTGGTTCGGGGACACCGAGGGCTGGTAAATGTCAGCTTGAAATCGTTCTCAATAAGGGCAGGATCGGCTTTTGGACTTACCAGTCGCCAGTGTGTTGTTGATGTGCGAGACGATGGCCTCCTTCTGGAGGACCGTGTCGCCGTAGAAGATGGCCGGCCCGCGCTTGTACACCTCCTTGCTCTGGCCGAATCGCACGGCCTTGCGCATGAGCCACTCGGGCCCGGCCGGGTCCGCCGCGCAGGGGTCCCAGAGCAGCTCCTCGTCCACTTCGAGGCCGCTCCGGATCTTGGCCTGGCGCTCCGGCGTCTGCAGCTCCAGCGGGAAGCGGTCGAGCGAGAAGTAACGCCGCGCCTGCCCGCGGATCTCGGGCTGGCCCCAGTCCCACAGCGGCTCGCGGATAGCTACCGACACGTTGCTGCCGTCCGCCGCCGTCGCCTGTAGCCACCGCGTCGGGTACAGCGTGTTGGCGCTGCGCTCCGCCTCCTCGAGCACCTTGGCCCGCACCCGCTTGAGCGCCGCGGCGTCGTCCAGCCTTGCCGCCCCGGCTTTGCCGTCCTCGGCCTTGGCGCAGACCGAGGCGAGCGTCGGCGGGTAACCCGTCACCTCACGCCAGCTGTCCACCGTGTCCTCCCAATCCGCCAGCGCCTTGGGCATGTTGGCTGGCCCGAGCGCCTGGGCGTTTGCCAACCGCTTCTCGAGAACGGCGCAAGTATATCCGAGGCGGTAGGACAGCGCGCCGAAGAAGTTGTACACGGCGGGGTCGGGCTCTGGCGCCGCGTTGGCCGTGAGGTCGTCCCAGGTCTTGAGCTCGGAAGGCCGTGGCGCCCCTACGGCGTCGAACTCGCTGTTTTTACCCTCTCCGGCGCCCTCATACTGTCTGGACGGCGGCGGCAGGACCACGAGCATTTCTGGGTGCAGGTCGGTGAGCGGCCGCGACACATAACCGTACTCTTCGAGGTCCCGCCGGAATTGAATGCGGCCCTCCTCGCTGAGCCTGTCCAGCCAGTAGCAAGCGTCGTGGACCGAGAAATGGATCTTCTCGTTCACGCCCATGGTCCCTTTGTGCATCTCGCTGAGCAAGTCATCCACCGAAACTTGCTTCTCGTCGGTCGGAAACAGGCCCTCCGGGGACAGGTCGTCGAGGATCCTCTGGAGCCGGTCGGCAAACACGAGATACAGCGGTGCCTGGACTCCCAGCTGCTGCATCATATCCCGGTTGACTGACGACTGGGTGAGTAGACGCAGGAACCCCAGCTCGGTCTCGTTCAGGAGCCTGAGCCGACCGTTCTCGGTCCTGTCCACATCGCGCCAGCGCAGCACCTCGGCAGATGGCTCCCCGCCCTCCTGGCCCAGGTCGCGAAGCTCGACGCAGCGAAATATGAGCTGCCGCGGCGCCACCAAGGAGCTGCGGTCCATCAGGGCAGAGATGGTCTTGCAGACCTTGAGCATCTGGTGGGCGTGTTCGGCGGCGGACGGCAGGCCGTGGTTGACGTAAGCCACGCGCGGCCGGGGCAGCGCCACCCACTGCCCTTGCCTGGTCCTCGCCGAAGCGCCCTCCTCCGCCAGCACGCTGAACGAGCCGTGATTTACTTCCGTGCTCTTACGAGCCTCGTCCCACCATCTGTCGAAGACGCGCCAGTAGTGGTGCATGTGCCTCGTGTACGGGCTGCCTCCCACGTCCCTGTCCTTGGCCTCCTCGCGCGGGATGGCGATGGGCGTGAACTGGATCCTGCTGGCCGATTTCTGCATGATCAGGAGATCCGACGCCTTGGCGGGCGGCACGACCCGGGACCACACCGTCTGCACCGAGCTATTCTCGCTGCTGTCCAGCTGGCTCAGGCACATCTGGAGACCGGCACGCCGCAGCCCGCGCACCGTGGCGTAGCTCGCAGGCGAGTCGCTCATGTTGGACGGCCACCCGCTGTTCATGCCCGGGTTGAGCAGGCCCAGCTGGTACCGCGCCTGCTCCTCTTCGGCGAGGTTGCTCTCTGACGCCGGCCGTGACGACCACATGGCATCCTCCGACGCGGCCAGTTTCTTGATGTGGAAGTCCGAGTCGCGGAAGTAGCCGACCAGGTTGTTGACCATGGTCGGCGGCCTGTGGAGCACCTTGCGCGCCCTCGGCACGCCCCCGGCGCCGCGGACGAGGCCCAGGTTGTTCCGCGGGTTGGGCGGCAGGCTCAGCGCCGGCGTCTTGACGCCATCCGGGCGCGGCATCCTGGGTTCCACGGGATCTCGCGAGGTGTGCTTGATGAATTCCAGGTGCGACTGCAGCTGCCCGCTCACGTTTTCAAGCAGGTCGAGCGTCTGCTTCCTGAAAGACATGGGGCTGGTCTTGAGGAAGTGGATGTAGTCCATGGTTTCCACCACCTTGGCCTCCCAGTCCGGGCACGTGAACGGGTCCTCGTCAGCGAGGAAGTTGTAGATGTGACCCAGTCGCTCCCCGGCCGACGGCTGGGCCTGGCCGTAGAAGCGGTGCGTGCGTTCGGTGTCTGCTGGATCAGGTGCGAAGGCCGGGGGCGCCCAGTTTCGCGGCGTCCGCTCCTTGGAGGCATCATGCGCGTCTCGGCCTCCGATCCCCGCCGCCCTCGCCCTGGCTAGCCTCGCCGTCTGGGTTGTGGTCCCGGAAGCAGCGTAGCCGCCGCCCCCGGCTGCGCGAGACATTTTGGGTCGGCTTGGATTCGTCTCTTGCTTGTCTTTGCGGTTATGGTCTTCTCCTGGGCAGCCTGGATGGCGCGTTCTGTACGAGCGCTAGCTTTGCCGTCGTAGGTGATGCGGTAGAAGGAGGAAAGCAATACAGAGAAGGTGAACGATGCGGAGGTATGAGTGTGAGTGGAAGGAGCGAGAAATCACGAGCACCGGCCCTCTCCATCTCTCTCCCTCTCCCTTTGTTTGTTTCCAGACTGCCTGTAATCATTGGCAGGAATGGACACTGGATCGACCGGCTCCCCCTTGTTTCCTTCCGTTTTTGTCGGGACTTGGGGGAAGGGAGCTGCAAGAATGCGAGGCGTGCCGCCGCTGGAATGCTTCCGTCGCCATCCCTTTTGGTTGTTTTCGGACTGCCGCTCTGCCCCCTCAAAGGCGGCACCTACGGAAAGGGACCGCTCTCCCCTGCCAGACAGCTCCCTCCAACGCGTCCCTTTGTTCTCTGAACGCGCGCAGAGGCGCATGGCTTGTGGGGGCGTGTTCCAGCATGGCCAGCTTGCCAATTGGTCTTGTCTGCCTGTTGGCACTGGGACTTGAATGCCTCGCGTTTTGTTTATTTGCAGCTCCTCGCTGGCGGACTGGTTCGTCAAGCCGACTATATCCACCCGCATGTGCCTCACTTGGGGCGGCGCCATATTCTTCATCCAAGGCAGAGAATAGTTTGAAGCCAGTTGATAGGTTTTGACCCAGATAATTACCATCATCACCAGAGCACGCTGGCCATTCCCTTATTACCCACACCCATGCTGCTTGATCCCTTGCGCGCCTGTGAAATACGAATCACATGGAAAGCCAAGCATGAGGGATGGGGGGGCCGGCCTGGATGATGCGACGCAATTCCTCGGCTCATAGCCTGCTTGCTCAACGTGATAAGGATGGAGATGGACCACAGTCTCCTGCAGGCCAGACGTCATGCATGAAAACTTGCTTCACAGGAAACCAGGTCAAATGGGCCAAGTCTAAAAAAAATTGCGGGGCTAGCCTTTCTCAATTGCCTCTACTTTTTCTCCTTCGCCGAGCCACCTTCTCCGGAATGCAGGGCGTGCTTCCAACATTCAGTCTTGGTGTCACCCCAAAAGGCCTGCTTGTCATACCCAGAGTCCCCCATGTTTCGGTCAGTCACCGAGGGCCAGAAATCGTAGGCCCTCGGGGAGATGGATGTCACCAGTTTTCCCTCGTCTTGTCAAGTGTTTTGTTTTCCTTCGTCTTGTTTTTGTGCTTTTGTTTTTCTCCTTTCGTGCCGACCAAAAATCTGAAAGCGATGGGCGGGCAAGACCCAGATAAAGTGCAGCCAAATGAAGAACGACAGCAAGGAATGCTGTTATATAGCATCCTCTTGCTCTCCAAATCTCACAACAAAGTCGTGTTCTTCGGTGGGAATCAAGATGGCAGCGCGGTTAGACCCGTTTGGGTTACCCGGCCTTGGGTGGAAGGGAAATAGAGGACATAAAAGAAGAAAAAGAACCAGTAATAGAGGTCACAAGGGAAAAGAGAAATGTGTAAATTGGAGAACTGTAGTCGTAAACAAAACAATGAAAAACGCTAGATGCCATGACGCTGATGTACCATAAGGGCAAAGCCTGTATGCGGGGTATGCAAGCAATCTTATTTTTCTTCTCACTTCCGTATCCCTTTCCTGATACACAGAGATGAAATCAAAAAGGAGAAATCGGGGGAGCTTCGGGATGTCGAGGCGAGAAGGTGGGCCGAGAGAGAAACTGGTCAGAAGAAAGACAAGGGTTCGCGGATGGGTGATGGTAGGCCGCGGGAGAGAAAAGTATAGCTAGCCCCGTCGGCGCCAGCCATTATCACCTGGCCTGCCCATCAAAGTAGTTGGCGTATTGTGCCGTCTGCTGCTGAGGGAAACCGTTGGCGTAACTGTGATGTGGAGGCGTCGGGGTGACAGGGCATCGGGGAGGTACGGGGTACGAAGCCTTGCTCTGAGACTCGCCGCCGGCGTAGCTGTCGGGGGTGATTGGCGGGGTCATGTACCCATCAGCTGCACCCGGGACGGATCCGAGACCCTTGTGGGGGGTGCTGAACACATCCTTGGTCGCAGCAGAGGTGTCAAAGGTCGGCGTGCACGGGTTCGCGGCGGCAGCGGCAGCGGCAGCTCGCCTGTTGATGGCGGCCTGATGCGCCAGGAAGTCGGACAGCTTAGCGGAGACACGGTGGTAGTGGGGAGAGGCATATTTCCTTGACAGGGTGACCGAGGGCTGATGCAGGTTGTGGGACAGAGTCAGGAGGGTGACGTTCTGGTCGTGATCCCACTCGCCGTCGTTGACCTCGGGGCGGCCCAGGATTGCGCGAGCCAGGGCAAGCGATGCCCTTGCCATGGTGGACGGCTTGGTCGAGACGAAATCGCGGTAGTAAAGGGAGATCTCGCTGATGTATGCGGCCATGTGCTGCACCTCCTTGTCGTCGCGCTCCTCGGCCACAATGAGCTGGGAGAAGAAGTCGACGGTCGGGTGGCCAACAGTCCACTCCAGGGTGTTGAGGACGTGCATCTCCATCTGCGTGAACATGCCGGCGTCGTACAGCCCGCAGCACATGTTGTTGAGCTCGTTGATCTGCGGCACACGGTCCTTCTTGTCACCGTACTTGGCGGCAATCAGCATGGCAGCGCATCCAACGAGTTGGTAGTGCTGCTTGTAGACCACCCTCTTGGAGCAGTACCTGTCCAGGAGGTTAACCGTGAGGAAGAGCGTTTCGGGGAGCAGCTGGAAGGCAGCGTGTGCCTCGACGAGGAAGTCGATGAGGTAGGGGCGCATGAACCACTGGATCTCGCGTTGCATGTCGATGAGGTTCGCATCGGGAAGCGTCTCGTCCTGAATTATCGCGAGGGTCAGCCAAAGGTGAGTCTCCCACAACCTCAAAGTCTCACGAGCTGGTTGTTACGAACCTCCATGTGCCTCATGTGCTGCATGATATCCTCCAGATACTCCTCACCGGCGAGCCGCGAGAGCTCGTTTCCGATGATCTCCCGCTTGTTCCTGGCCATGATCTTGGCAGCTTCCCTCGCGCTGATACGAGGCCTGGACGGCTCGTCTGACTCGACAAAGAAGGTGCCATCGGGCTTTGCGGTAGTAGGGTACGCCATGATTCCGAGGATGTAGGTGGTGACGGAAAGTGTTGACTAAATACACAGGTTGAAGTCGGCGGGTACAACGAGAAAATGGTTGCGAGATGAGGAAGTAATGAGTGAATGAGTGAGAGAAGACCAAGAGATTGCCGTATTAGGAGTGGTGTGTATGGTTCCGACTGTTGCGAAGCCGTCGAAGGAGCGTGATTAATCGACCGAGCAAGGTCTATTAGGGTATTAAACGAGTGTGGGTTAAAGAGTGACAGTGGCTGGAAGCCGAGACAAAATAAAAACGAAACCCGGAAAACGAGTTGCAGAATCCAGAGTTGCACGCGAGAGGTGGTAAACGAGTAGAGGTTGGGAGATTGATAGAGCGGTCGTTTAAAAAGGGAGTGACCAGGTGGGTGATAGTCCTGCAGAGATAGAGTACGTCAGCCTCAGCGGCCCGAGTCAAAAGGAACTACCGGTATGCGCTGATCCCGGAGCCAGCCGTGCATGCCTCGATCGGGTCGCGCGCAGGGACGCGGAAAGGCTGCGTGGACGGTGTTATCTGCTCGCCAGCGCGCGACACTAGGATGCGGGCGGAGGCAAGACAGGTTTGCTCGAGAGTGGGGGCAGGGATTATCTTACCGCCACGGCGATGCCTTTAGGAGAAACAGGCGAGATGACACAATTCCTGAGGCCTGTGGGAGCTACGAGTTAACGTGTCCCACTAACAAGAGCCTCTGGTAGGTCAAGTTGACAAGCGTGATGGTGAAGAATGCCGGGTCGGCATAGGCCTGGAAGGGAGGGGAAGAACCGTTAGCTAAGTCCAGACTGGATTGTCTTGGGTTTTCCTTCACTTTAATTGCGGCTTCCATTTTTTGGGGGGGCATCATGCGCTTCGAGGGCGGTCACCACCATCGACTGATCCACAATCCCAGGGACTGGTCGATTCATTGAGGCGGCGCGCAATTTTGGGGCGGCGAGCTGTTCGTTATGGAGATTGGCGGTAATTACCTCTGATCAACGCCGTGGAAGGTCGGAAAGCCCTCACAATGATGTCGAGATCATGTAGAGCAGGTCGATGTTCTCGGTCCTCGAAACCTTGAGATTGTCCTTCACAATGCACTCAGTACCAGCTAGGCACAATCGGTGAAGCTATCCCGCGGAAACGGGATGAAAGAATCCGAGGAATGAGAGAGCGGGCGGTGGATGGCCGGGGGGTGGCAGGACTACGGGAGTTGTCCTGGCTGTTCGAACCTCGAGGAATGCTGGGTTCGGGCAGTTGTAGCGGCCGGAATGTGAGAGACTAGGGACAAGGGGAGGGAGAGAGAGAAGATCAAGAAGAGAACGAGGTGAATAAAGAGGACATAGATGCACACAGCACAGGAGCTCCCTTTGGTGAAAGGAAAGCTCAATGTTCTTGTATGCGCCCCCTTTTTTTTTATGCCGGGTCCCCGGGTCTCAAGGCTCCTCAGTCTGTCCCTGGCTCGCTTGGCCTTGGGAGTCGGTCCGTGGTTGAATTGACGTGCGAGCGATTGCCTATCTCCTCCTTCCCTCCGTTTTCTCCACGATCAAAGAATAGGGAGAAAATGGTCGTCTGGAAGGAATGGACGGGGAGGGGAATGAATGGACACGGATGAAGGAGACGAGCGACGGAGAGGAAGGAGGAGGAGGAGGAGAGGTGTGGAAAGATATTTGTTCGACTTGGAACCAGGAACCGAGACGAGGGAAAGGGACTGGACGAGATTGGCCCCGGTTTAACTGGCTCTTCTAAGACAAGCCCCCTCCCCAGTAGCAGGAGAGCGACCGCGTCTTCTGTTTGGCTCAGCCCGTGGGCGAGCTAGGATCGTGTGCATAGCGCCTGGGTTGTGGGTGTGGCCTGGTGGGCGTGTCCTGCACCTGTGGGTGTGTCTGTCCCCTTCGCGCGTCGGCCGCACAGTCGCCCGCACTGTTGGACCCGCCGCCGCTCTGCGTTGCGGCCAGCGGGCTCACACGCTCACGAGCACTCCTAGGCCTGCCAGCCCGCTGCGAGCCGGGCGCGCGACACCCCTGCACCCCGGCCTCCCCACCCCGGCCGCCGCCCCCAGTCAGCCAATCGAGCGGCCAGCTGACTGTCCCGCCCGCCGCCCCTGGCTGCAGTCGCGCACACGGTGTACCTTGATTCTTCGCACCACGTCCCGCCCAACTCGTGCGGCCACTGCTCCCGAATCGCTGGGGAGGGAGGGGGTGCTGTGATGGAAATTGAGCGCAAAGAGGAAGGGAAGGGGGAAAAAAACATGGAAACCTGGCCCAGCTTCCACACCTCAGGCCCTTGGCAGACACTTTGAGCACTCCTCGTCCAACGTGCATCCCATTTCCATCCCGCTCGTGGCAGGGAAAGCACAGATAGGGAGGTAGGAAGAGAGCGCCTAGGGTACCTAAGGTACCTCGCGCCTTGCCCAGCTTCCCAGCTTCCATCCTGGTTATAGGAATCTTGATGTAAAATGATACCAAGCCAGGTAGAGCATGTACATTAATCGGTGCCGTGGGCGCGTGCGCTGAGAAAGTCGGTCAGAAAAATTGCATTTCAATTAATCAATCGCCGCAATTGGAGCCCAGTTGATGGGACCGAGAGTGCGCCACCACCTAACCCGCCTGGGTACGGCACTGTAGGGGCCTTCTCTCTCTCTCTCTCT